AGAATAGAATGAGATCATCTCCTTCCACCCCCTGCCATGGGCAGGGACACCTTCCACGAGCCCAGGTTGCTCCAGCCTGGCCTGGGACACTTCCAGGGATGGGGCAGCCCCAAAATCTCCCAGTCTGCAGCCCTGGGAGAGCAGAGGCTTCAGTGTCTGGGCAGACAGACCGATACTGGGGAGTTCAGGAACAGGTAATTATGTCCTTTGTCTCGTGAGATGAGTTAATCATGATGTCCACCCCGAAATGATGACAGACACAATAATAAAGAGCAAGATGGGGTGTTAACGAAACAGCCTCATTAAAGCCACCTGGGCGAGCCATGCCTTGGGAGAGCCAGTTCAGCAACTTGTGAATCACAGGCAGGACACGAAATCCAGGAGGGTAAAGGGTTCCCTCAGATCCTTTTCTCTGGGCACGAGGGTTCAGACTCGGGGGTGGCAAAAAAGTCAAGGAGCATCCACGTAGTCCTGAGGTGAGGATCCCATGTGAGGTTCTTGGCAGGGGTCTCCACCTCCAGCTCCCTTCAGAGCTGCTGGAATAACTGCTGCCACCTCCCAGGGAATCTTTGGCTTCTGGGGACTTAATTACCTGATCAGCACTTGATTTGCTTTTGGTGGCAAGCACAGCACCTGCCCGAGACCTGTGGGAGCTGGAGCAGCATTTTCTGTCTAGGAAGGACTGGCTCAGACCAGCAATTTTCCTGCTTGTGGTGGTGTTCTCCCTGGAATTAGTGGCCTGAGTGTGGTGTCCATGGGAGCTGAGCTGGGCCCCAGCAGGTGAGAGAGCTCCACGTCCCCTCTGCAGCCGCCTCACCCCGGGCACGTCCCTCCCGTCCTTTCCCCGAAGGCTTCAGCCGGGCAGATTTCATTGCATGTGGCCTTTTGCCTCTAAAAATAGCTCTTTGTGCAATTCCCAAGGAAGGGAGAAGCAATTACACACCTCCAGTCTGGGAAAAACATTCCCTCCCTTTCCACGGGCCGGCTCCGGGGCAACGAGCAGCGTTTTTTCTGCTGAGGTGGCTGCCACGGAGGTGAAGTGACCTCCCCTGAGCCTCTCCAGACCTGCATCCAAAGCAGTGTTTAAGGTCAGGAGTGCCCCACCTTCTGATCTCCAGACACGGTTCAGGTCGTCTCCCTCCCAGCCATGGAAAGTGCTTTTCTTTCCTCACGCCCGTGTCGCAAGCGGAGGCTGCGAATCCGACGGTGAAAACGCCCCGAAAAACCTCAAGTCTTGCTCAAATAAAAGCGGTGTCTCAACGCTCAAGAGCTCTGCCTTGATGTTCCTCCACCAGAGAGCCTCTGCCAGGTGCCCTGGTGGATGGGCACGAGCCAGCTCGGAGCTGACAGTGCACAATCACTTGGGGATATCGCCCGAAAATTCGGGTGCAGCGCCGGGAGCTGCTGAAATCCCCCTGTGCCCTTCCAGACCCTTGCAGGCCAACAGTCGTGGTCCTGGAATGGTTTGGGTTGGAAGAGACCTTAAAGCTGATCCAGTTCCACCCCCTCTACCCTGGCCAGGGACACTTTCGTCTCTCCCAGCTTGCTCAGAGCTCCATCCGACGTGGCCTTGGACGCTTCCAGGGGTGGGGCAACGATAATCCCGATTAATTTAATGCCTCTGATCTGATTCCCTCGATCTCCCTTGCTCTGAAGGGCGATTTTCCAGGAGCCTATCTCAGCACAAGGGCTATTTTGATAACCACAGTGCTGCCTAGAAAGCAGCCAGGCAGGTTCTCCGCTGCTGGGAAGTGTCCCAGTTCCAGAGCTGCAAGTGGAATTTGCTGCAGTGGAGCAGCTGGGGAGGCCTGAGCCAAGGTTTGGGCTTGGGTTGGGGTGTTCCCCCTCTCTAGCAAAGCCTGGAGACTAAAACTAAACCTGTGAGGGAGGCAGCAAGACAGGGCCTCACCTGCCAGGGAGTCCCACACATGAAGTCCCACTCTGGAAGACACCACAGCTCAAAATTCAGGTGTCCCGACCTCCAGTTGCCAAAGGATTAATAAGAGAGAGGAAGTTACACCACAGGTGGGAGCAGCTTCTTCCATTTGCTACCCAGGAATCCCAAGTGGTGACTGGGACCAGCTCAGCAAGAAGTGCAGCTGATAAGAGCTCAGGTGGGACGGTGGAGACGGGACAAAGATAGTCCCAAACGTGATGAAATTCAGCTCTGTGTGGGCCAAGGCGTCTCTGCTGCTGAAAATAATCCTCCCATCCCAATTAAGGGCTGCTTGACCTGTGTCCTGATCCCTCCCTGAGATCTGGAGGGTAGTGGTGAGTTATCCTCACTCTAACAAATGTTTTTCACATGGAATAATACCTATGGAAGGAAGTGCTTCTGTGGAAAACACCCTTTGTTTCACATTGGGGTTGAAATAACCTTTCCAGTGCCATTCTGGCACCTAAATGGGACCAGTTTCCAATCCCATTTGATGTGATCAATCTTGGATACCATTAAAATCCCTTTACTTGCCACATGATAGATGGAGATAAACTCAGTTCCCTGTTCTGTCACATTTAGATCGGTGGGAGCTGTGGCATCTGGACCACGGAAGACAACATTAATTCATAAATTCCAAAATTATTTAGGTTGAAAAAGACCTCCAAGAGTATCCAGCCCACCCTGTGCCCATCCACAGGTTGTCCCCCAGCCCAGAGCACTCAGTGCCACATCCAGTCCTTCCTTGGGCACCTCCAGGGGTGGGGACTCCAAACCTCCCTAGCCCCTTCTAAGGCCTGACCACCCTTTCCAACAACAAATTCCTCCTGATGATTCAAAATCATCTGTTCTGAAATGAAAGTAGAGTAAAATCTATGAAGATCTTCCTAAGGAAAAGAAAAGTCACCTCATCCCTCACAAGTTTTTGCACTCTAAAGTCATTTCAGAGAATTCATCGGTGAAGGACAAACCAACCCAAAACTACAAATACATTCCAAGAATTAGTGGGAATTAGGTGATGTGGAATGACTGATGGATGGGATGAAGTGGCACCACCACCCCCCCCAAACCCCCTGATCTCCACGGGGCTCTCAACAAACCCATGAACCCGAGGGTCTGACCTTCACCCCCACCCAACACTGGGTTCAAGTGGATTAGTCAGGGCAGGGGAATAAAACCAACCCTGCCTGCAAGGTGCCTACGTGTAAAACAAGGCTGTGGAGGAAATGCAGCAGGGGCAGTTGTGAAAGAGTGAGCTCATCAGCCAGGAGGACTCATTCCCAGAAGGCAGGGCTTTGAAACCATATAAAAGTTCCCAAATCTGCCCCTGCTCCACCATCCGCTCGACTCCCGTGCGAACTCCCCGGCGGCTGCTTGGGTAAGTCAGAGGATTCCTGATGCCTCTCTGAGCTTCTTTTCCCCCTCCTACCCCATTGTGGGTGCACTCTCTTTAAACTAAAGTGCTTTACCTGCTGCCTCTGAATATGCAAAAAAAAAGGCTCTTGGAAAGAAGAGGGGCTGTGGGGAGGACGGGCAGCCTTGGAGGTGAACTCAGCCTGAGTGTAAACCTGAGGGTGGTTAAGGGTTAAATTAGAGCCTTTCTGAAAGGGAGAGCAGATGAAATTATGTTCCTTCGGGGAAAGGAGACCAGTGGCCTCCTCAAGCTCCCTCCCAGCCTGATTTCCTGCGATTCTTGCTGTTTATAACAAGGATTTTTTGTTAAAACTTCGACCGCAGTTCTTTTGGAAAGGAGGGATTCGGGGCACGAGGGGCTTGTAGGAGGATGAGAGCACTGATCTTATCAGATCCTTATTAAAAAAAAAATTCTGAGAGAGGGGGGATGTTGATCTGGAGGAGGGAGAGGAGAGGAGGGAATTGGCTTTGGCCATTATTATTATTATTATATGGGCTGAGAGGAGCAGCAATCACAGGGGGAAGGCAGAAGGAGCTGCCACTCTCCCTCTCTTTCTCTCTCTCCCCCACAACTCCACAGTGAGGCAGGTCCTGTGTCGAGGGGGGCTTCAAAACTGCCCCTTCCAGGCACCACTTTCCCAACTCCCACCTTCAATCTTTGCCTTTCAGTTGGTTTTAGGAAAGCAGCAGCAGGGGCTTTTAGCAAAGATGCTCCCACAGCCCAGCTGAGCAGCTGAGCAGCAGCCACAAAACAGTTTCCCAAATTGTCAGGAACACCCAAGTCCACCTAGGAGTGGCCTCGGCAGCAGAAGTCCCTCCTGGGGGCTCTGATTCATGCAGGTCACAGGTGTCATTAGTGGCCAGGACAATCCAGGAGCACGGGGAGAGACATTTATCACCGCTAATTCTTTCCATGGCACTTCCAAGGCCTGGGCCACAGGTCACCACTTTACATCACCAGCAAAGTCAGGATGGAAGCAGAGCAAGAGGAGGGATTGAGTCTTAATTACTTGCAGAAAAGGCTTCTAATTCCAAGTAAAACCTGGAAACCACTGTTAAAGTGGCAAAAGCAAGTGAATTATTTCACTTTTGCCAGTGTAAAATATCCTGTTGGCCCCACATCTGTATTTTCCTGCTTTCTGACATGCTGAAAGTGCTTTTAAATGTTTGTCTTCCACGTTCACTGTTTTTATATTATTATTATTTTGACTTTCTGAGGCTGCTCTCTCAAAACCAGGAGATCTGTGATTTGGCAGCTCCTCTCATCAATTCCCCAGGACAGAAATAAAAGGGAGTTGACACTTTGGGAAGAGGGGGGGAAGGACTGTGAAGTGTAAATCAGCTCCAGGTTCAAAGGAGTGGCTCTACCTCAGTCAGACCTGACAGGGCTGTCCCACATTGCAGTGCAGAAAGGAGGAACGAGATAAGACAGAGTCGGAGCAGGAGCTGAAAGGCAGGATGAAAAAAATGAAGAGCAAATCGTAATTCTGGGACAACCTGCCTTGGGAAGCCAAGGGCAAACCGAGAGAACTTCGCTCCGGTTTCTCAGTACAGCTGTGTTTTGTAACTGCTCCCCCTCCTCCTGCTGCGCTTCACTCAGCGCCACAATAACACCCTGACTTTCTTTCAGACGGTCTCGTTTCCTGCCAAGATGTCCCTGAATCAAACGCAAATCAAGCAGGAGATCACCCTCCCCCGGGGCTGAGCAAGAGCATCCCGAAGCAGAGCCAAGAGCTCACCGACCCCGTCCCGTGCCCGCAGCAGCATCCCGAGCTCCCGGATCCAGCCCCGGCGGTGGGAACGTGCCCAGAAAAGGTGGTGCCCTTGCCAAGCCAGGAACCAGGCAAAGGAGAAGCCCCCGTGGCCGTGGTGCCCCAGTGCCCACCCCAGGAGCAGCAGCAGCAGCAGCAGCAGTGCAAGTTACCCCCATCTCTCCTACCTGAGGCTCTTCCGTGCCCCGAAGAGAAACCGGCCTGCAAAGAGCTGCCCGTGCCCTGCCCTGACCCAGCTCCGTGTGGGCTGGAGAAGCAGCAGTGCCAGGAGAGCGCCGTGCCAGTCCCTGGGACCTGCTCCGAGGCTGCCGCGCGTCCCCGGGAGGAGCAGGAGGTCAAGGAGATCCCCGTGCCCTCCCAGTGCCCTCAGGAGAAGCAGGAGATCAAGGAGATCCCCGTGCCCTCCCAGTGCCCTCAGGAAAAGCAGGAAATCAAGGAGATCCCCGTGCCCTCCCCGTGCCCTCAGGAGAAGCAGGAGATGCAAGGAGACCCCCGTGCCCATCCCTGTTTCGCGCCCCGACCCCGCCCCGTGTGCCCAAGAAATGCAGCAGTGCCAGGAGACGCCCGTGCCCCTCCCTGTCCCGCTGCCTGACCCCACCCCGTGTCCCCAGGAGATCAAAGAGACCCCCGTGCCCACCCCCGACCCCACCCCATGTCCCCAGGAGAAGCAGGAGATCAAAGAGACCCCGTGCCCACCCCCGACCCCACCCCGTGTCCCCAGGAGAAGCAGGAGATCAAGGAGCTCCCCGTGCCCACCCCGCGCCCTCAGGAGAAGCAGGAGTGCCAGGACGCCCCGGTGCCAGTGCCAGCTCCCTGCCCCGACCCGGAGCAGTGCTCCCTTCCCGAGAAATTCCCTCCCGTGGAGCAGCAGCAGGTGAAACAGCCCAACCTGTGGCCTCCCGTGCAGAAGTAAAGCGGCGCTGCCGAGCGAAGCCCCGAAGGGAGAAGCTCCCAAATCAAAACCTCCTCCCCCCAAACCCCCCATCTTCCAGGAATGAACCAGAGGTTCATCTCCCGACACCTTTTTTGATGGCTGCAGAGTTTCTGTGGAGAAGAAATCGCTGTTAAGCTTCCAACTCCCCCCCCCTCCAATTAATGCTTTCTCCTTTACTAACAGCTCCCCCCCAGGACGCTCAGCAGATAAAAAAAGGCTTCAAGCAGGGTCCTAGTTGTGTGTTCAGCTTCCCAGCAGCCTGAATTGCTGCCCTCTCCCAATCCCCACTGGCTTTGGGAGGCTCCAAAGAGCTCCCTGGCACGCACAGGGCAGGGTTCCTTAAAGCTCAGCAAGAAACTTCCCCCAAACACGGGGCCCAGCTCTGGTTTCCTTGCCCTTCCTCCCTCACCTCCCACTTGCATTTAGGGGTGGGTTTTTTGCCTGTTAATAACTGGAGGTTTGGGCAGAACCTGCTGCTGAAGGGTTCTGATCGACCTCCTAACACGTGAAATTCCAGTGCTCGTTGTTTTCTGCAGTTAAAAAGCATCCACTGGGCCCCAGGGAACAGGAAGGGATTTTAGGATAGCTGGGAACCAAGAGCTCACCTGGAATTTTCTAGGAGGTGGAAAAGAGCAGCTCGAGCTGAGAGAGCCTTCCTGGCAAGTGTGTAGGTAATTAAATCCACTCCAGACACGTTTAGGAAGAAGGGATTGACCTTCAGGCGTGGCTTCCCTGAGTTCCACGGGGGTAAAAAGGAGGGAACCCACTCGGGGCTGTCTCCACTACACCCTGCAATGTTTCCCCACACGGGGTGGTTGTGTATGGACCTGCTACTTAGCTCTAATTATTTCAGGCTGGTGTTGCATCCAGGAGTTATTTCACTGTGAAAAAAAAAAATCAGCAATAAAAATTGCTTTGAATACCGAGTGGTGGAGATTTTTCTCAGCTTCTTGCTTAAAAAAAAAAAAAAAAATCAAAAAGAGATGGGAGGGAGCCTCAGTTTGCAAGAGCCAGACCTTTTGCAGGCTCAAAGCTCAGGACTTTCCAATCAGGACTTGGAAACTTGGGAATAGATGGCCCTGAGTCGTAGAACCATGGAATGGTTTGGAATGGGAGGGTCCCTAAAGTCTCTCCAGTTCCATCCCCCCTGCCATGGGCAGGGACACCTCCCACTAGCTCAGGTTGCTCCAACCTGGCCCTGGACACTTCCAGGGATGGGGAATCCATGGAATAACCCTCACAAGGAGGGAATTTATCCTTAATATCCCGTCCCAACCAACTGGGTATGTCTTTGAAGGTGATTTCTCAGCAAATAAAAGAAAAAGGCAACGAACAACATGAGTAAAGTGACAGTAAAAACATCAGGAAGCAAGTAATGAGGTTATTCATAATTTTATTGCAGCATGTCCCAAATTAATTAAGATCAGCATCAAGATGCCCCACAATTTATTTATTATTTGACAGGAGAGGACGAACTAATCCCAGGTAATGAATTGCATCCCTTTGTAAAGCAATTCCTTCTTGCAAGCTGAGGGGGTGGCTGCAGGCTTGGAGCCCTTCCAGCAGCGCCAGCAGACAGGGAAGTTGGGCAAGGAAGCGTTTGGAAATCGGGAATTTGCATCTCCCGTGGCGCTTTCGGGGCCGGTGCCGGTGCGGGTGCTACTTCTGCTTGGGGCACTGCTGGTGCTGCTGCTGGTGCTGCTGCTGCTGGGGGATGCTCTTCACAGCGCTCTTGGCCTGGCCTTTGGGGGCCTGGCTTTGCTCCACGCACTTGGCAGAGGCCACACACTTCTCCTGGCACTGGGGAGGGAGCTGGTGCTGCTGTTTCTGCTGGTGGGACGACATCCCTGCCAAAGCCTGGGAGAAAAACGAGGTGCCGGTTCAGTTATTTGAAGCCCCCACCACCACCACCCCACAATCTCCCTTTTTTTGGGATGTCAGGGCTTCAGGGCAGTTCTTCAGCTCTGCCATCCACTCACCAGCAAAGAGGATTATCCTTTAAATGTTAATCCTCCCATCAAAACCACTCCAAAGAAGAAATGGGAGTAAAATCCCTGAGGATGCTGCTCCCCAGACCCGATTTACATCAGTGGGTCCGCTTTGCTGGGCACCTGCAAAGTGGCTTTTTGGGGGGCTCCCATCACGTCCTCTGGGGGATCAGCCACTCTGCTGAGGCTGCAGAGAGTACCTGCACATCAAGTGAATGCCAGAGGGAAGCTCCAGCCTAAAAACAAAGCCTTGCTCCAGGCAGGGAAGTGGCTGCAGAGCTGAGGGGGAGACAAACAGCGAGGGGGGTTCTCCTTCTCTCCCTCTGCTCGCTGTTTCCTGGACATTTCAACTGGCCATTGAAATCAGGTGAGCTGATGGGGTTCTATTTGCAAAAATAAAAGGTTTCCAGAGCCCTGGAGATCCAGGAGGCTGAAGTGATCAGCCCGTGGCCGCTCGGCGGATGCAAAACAGGCTTCCCGTGGATGCCAACTTCTGGCAGCTGCCACTCAACCCCTGATGGTTATCCACAGGATTCTTATCAGCTCAGGGGGGGGAAATTCAGAGGGTTGAAGAGGGGTTTTCTGGTCCAAAGAGGCAGCAAAACCACCTCTTGGAACCTCAGGAAGCCTCCAAATCCCATCGCGCCTCTCACCTGCGCGCAGATGAAATCTGCAGGGTAGGGGGCAAAGCTGGAGCTGGGACAGGACAAACCATCTCCCCCCTAAGCAACAAAAGGGGCCCAGGAGGACTCACCTGGTGTCTCCTGCTCTGGGAAGGAGGGAAGGAGAAGCCACTGGAGGTGAGGAGCTTCCCCAGCAGGAGGGTTTTATACCCTCTCGGGACTCAGCCCCGGCAGCTGATGACAACAGATTAACTTGATGACCAGAATCTTTCACAACCAGAACCTGCTCCGCTCACACCTCCGTGCACCTGGACCACAGTCAAGGTCTGGGAAAAGATCCCTCCTCTTGCAGGTGCGGGGGATTTGTTGTTTTTTTAATGCCAGGCACGCCCAGACTGGTAATCACGGGCTAATTCGTTAATAATTCGCCTCGTCCCTGTCCTGGGCAAAGATCCCAGAGCTGGGAGACAACTCACATCCCCTCTGGAGGGAGGAGAACATATAAAATATAAAATTGAGGTGATGATTTTGGTTGTGACCACAGGACAGATGCCCAGAAACCTGAATGGGAAGGGCAGCAGGTCCATCCTTGGCCTTCTGCGTTTTGCTGTTGTCCTTCTCCAATTTCCTCCCCCCCAAAAAAGGGGACTAAAACACTTGCAGTTAATGGCTGGTGATAACGTGGAGAGATCCCAGAATCCCAGAGACACTGAGGCTGGAAAAGGACCTCCAAGATCATCAAGTCCAAACTTGGACCAGTCTTGTCAACCAGGCCACAGCACTGTGGCCCCTTCTCCAGCTTCATCCTGTTCTTTCTTGGGTTGTTCCCAACAACCCTTGGCTGTTCCTACCAAAAATACTTGGTTCTTCCCACCAACAATTCTTGACTGTTCCCACCAACAATCCTTGGCTATTCCTACCAACAACTCTTGGCTGTTTTTACCAAAAATCCTTGGTTGTTCCCACCAACAATCCTTGGCTACTCCTACCAAAATTCCTTGGCTTTTCCCACCAACAACCCTTGGCTGTTTTTATCAATAATTCTTGGTTGTTTCCACCAGCAATCCTTGGCTTTTCCCACCAAAAATCCTTGGCTTTTCCCACCAAAAATCCTTGGCTGGCTCCACACCCACCCAACTACTGGTGTTGGACACATCCACAGCAGGGGCTCCCTGACCTCCTGCACGCTGACACGGATGAAATGGCACCAATTTGTTGCAAATATCCCAGGAATTCGAGCAATTCCCAGGGCTGACCACAGGTGCATAGGAGAGAAGTGTTGTCAGAGCTTTTGCAACACCTTTTTCCCCACCAGCACAGGAAACCTGATGAGCTCAACCCAACAGGTGCCTCCTGCCACTTCCTCTGGGGTTATTCCAGAGCCTGGCTGGGATTCCTGTGCCTGGTGCAGCAAAGAGGGGAGAAGATTAAAAAAAAAAAAGAAAAAAAAAGAACTGTAAATTATTGAGTCTTTTTCCTTGCACTTTACAGTAGCTTTTCACTGAAGCAACTTCATCTGCAATGAATTCAGCTCCTTTTCCCCAAACCCTGGCTTTGACCTGCTGAAGCTGTGGCAGAATTTCTCGTTTGTTTTTTTGTGGGGTTTTTTGTTTGTTTGGTTTTTTTGTTTGTTTTGGTTTGTTTTTTTGGTTTTTTGCTTTTCGGTTTTTGTGTTTGTTTGGTTTTTTTATTCTGGGGATGGATCAATGTTGAGGAAAAATGTTGATCCCCTGGAGATTTTTTTTTTCTTCTTCTTTCTGAGGGAAGGCACTGAGAAAACGTTCCATCAGCTGGTAGATCTGGTGGTGTCACCTTCTGGTGTCGACAGACGGAGCACAAAGAAGGAACCTGCTGTTGAATTCCACAGCAAGGGCTCATTAACAGCTCGTTTGGTAACAGCGCACACACCTAAATATAACTCTTTTTTCTTCTCCAGATTAGAGATTCCCCACCCTCGCCCGTAATGATATGGTAGATGGGGAGCAATTCTCAGCCGTCCCAGACATGGAAATTGCGTGGCCCTTCCTGGAGCCAGAGGTTGAACGAGCCACGTGCACGAACCCCGGGAGGACAATGGGAGCTTTATCTCCGAAATTCGGGATTTCAAAGGGCTTCACGTCCCTCCAGACAATGGGTCTCCTTTAGCTTCGAAGTTATAATAAATAAAGATGTATTTAAAGCGGAGAGAAATGTTATTGCACCTGCAGGGTGTTGATGAACCCGAAATCCAACCCCTCTCTCAGTCAGGGAGGGGATTTCTCCTGGTGGCAAAGGGGAAAATGGGCAGATAATGGACCTGTCCAAAGCCACCCAGAGGATCTGCAGATCCTGGGAGCAAAACTGCAAAACTCAGGGCTCAGAGCTGTTTGTGAACCACAAAAAAGATTCGTCTCCTGAAGCCAAATCCCCTCTTTTCTATGTTTAGTCAGTGGGGATCATGGGACGAGTTCATCCAACCCACCACTATTGTCGAAGTCAGAATTTTTTAAAGGAATAATTAAAATTCCAGCAGGAACATTCAGTTCCTTCTGGCTTGAATTTGAGGCTTTACACTGGTTCTATTTACCTTTTAACAGTTTCTAAGCTTTGGCCCCCAAATCTTGAGATATAAACACCAAAATTCCATCATTAATAAAACTGAAAATCAAATTTTCTGTCATTGTTTTCACTCATTTGCCAGGAAAGCATTGACCAGGTGATGTTTTCCTTCTAGAATTAGAAGGTAATTGCTCTACATTAAAATGCTTTTTGCAGCAGGCACAAAACCCTCCCCCAGCCACAGCAGCTTTTGAGGATAAAAACTAAGGGAAAGTGTCCTTGGGTCTGAGGAGGTGGAGACGAAAAGAACGACAGAGGGACACAGGATGCCATCGACGGTCAATTTTTATTGCTGCACACAGACATCACAAGACAGGAGGATCAAAAGAGCAGGTGAGAAGGAAAGAGCAGAAGAGGAGACATCTTCCACCACCAGCTGCTGACAGCACTAACCATGGCTGAACATCTTGGACAGCACAACCATGGATGAACATCTTGGACAGCACAACCATGGCTCAACAACTTTTCCCAGCACCACCATGGCTCAGCATCTTCCCAAGGCGCCCACCAGTCTGACATCGGCCAACTGCAGCGACCAAAGAGAAAAGTGCTGAGGCAGCAGGAGCAGAAGTGTCACAGGAAGGAAAGAGGGGAAACACTCAGAGAAGACATTTTCCAAGACAAAGGCACTGGGGGCAGGCAGAGCAGGAGAGGTCGGTCTCAGCACGTGGCTGGGCGATGGGGGGGGTCCGTTAACTCCGTTATCCGTTCCGCGGGCGCCCCGGCGATCAGCACGGGCGGGAGCAGACGGGCTCCAGGCACACCGTGTCGCACGACTCGACGCACTTGGTGGTGCAGGTCTCCACGCAGGGGGCCTGGCAGGTCTCCAGGCACTTGGTGGAGCACTGCGGGGCGCAGGGCTGGGCGCACTGGGCCGGGCACTGCGGGGCGCAGACGTCGACGCACTGCGGGGCGCAGGACTGGGCGCAGACATCGACGCACTGCGGGGCGCAGGAGGACTGGGCGCAGACATCCACACACTGCGGGGCGCAGACCTCCACGCACTGGGTGGCACAGGAGGTGGTGCACTGGGTGGCACAGGGCTCCACGCACTGCGTGGCGCAGGGGGCCTGGCAGACCTCCACGCACTGCGCGGGGCACGGCTCGGCGCACACCGTCTTGCAGGGCTCCACGCACTTGGCGCACTTCTGCACGCAGATGGGAGGGGGCAGGCAGGGCTGCTTGCACTGCTCGTAGTAGTAGGACATCCTTCCCGGGGTTGGGGTGGGGGCTGGACCTAAAGGCAAGGCTGGAAAGAGACACAGAAGTCAGGATGGTTTGTTCCCCAAGAGGCGCTGATTCCCAATTGACCCCTTTGGGGCTGCTGGAAAATATCGCCCGTGCCGGTGATTTCTGGATTCAGATTAGGAAGCCCAGGGCAGGGCCATCAGTTTTAGAGAATTGCCCATGGGTAAGCTTTGTAGAAGCAGTGACATGAAAATAGTTTGTTTCCCTGTTTTCCTAATTAAAGCAGGAAATTCTCCAAGGCTTTTCCATTGGTTATCACTTCCTCAGACCCTCACACCCACCAGGACCACGTCCTCCTGTGAGCAGACATCGAGCTGCTGATGCCCAAAGACCACAAACCCAGACATTATCCCATAAAACCGTGGAATCGTGGAATGGTTTGGGTTGGAAGGGATCTTAAAGATCATCTCCTTCCACCCCCTGCCACGGGCAGGGACCCTTCCAGTAGACCAGGTTGCAGACCCAGCCTGAGGATCCTCCAGCTCATGGGATGTCAGTGGAGTTGTCTCAAAATTCATCCTTTCCTAGGAAGAAGGGTTGGCCCAGAGGCTGCAGGTCCCGTTTCCAAGTCATTTCCTCCTCTTGACTTCTCCCAAATGTCTCCTGCAGCTCTGCCTGTAGGAATCCTGCAGCTTCCTCCTTCCAGATGATAATGCCTCTTCCCACCCATCCCTTTTGAAGTGCCAAGAGTTACTCGGCGGCATCCACTCGTTCATTTAATTTCCAGACTTAATGAGGCACGAAAAAATTACACCAAGACAGAATAGGAGGGAGGCTGAGAGACAACCACAGTTTCTGAGGAGGGTGACAGAACATTTGCAAGCTACTTAAGGCAAAGCAAACTCTAAACAAGAGCGGAACATCCAACAAGACAAATCCTGGAGCAGAAAGCTCTGGGAAAAAAAACACCCTCTTGACCACACCAACCAACCAGAGAACCCAAGAACCGTCGTTCCCTGACGGATCCAAGAGAAGACTTACCAAGTTCACCCGTGCAGGCGAGCGAGGGAGAAGCCAAACGGAGTGGTGGGAGCCCCGAAGACGCAAAGCTTTTATACGGCCCGAGCGGCGTCACCTCCGGAAACGCGGCAGCCCAGGGGTACGGACACCTGACCACTAACAACCTGCCCAGGCTCCACCCCCCACATGCTTTGCATATTTGTTCACATCCTAATTTCTGGTGGAAAGCCCTGTGGGTTGCAGGAAAAAGCATGTGATCCTGAGCAAGACTCAGTTTCCCCCTCCATCACCACCACCACTCCGAGTCATGTGGTTCCCACTGGGAATGGCAGTCATTAAAAACAAACAAACAATCAAAAAAAAAAAAAAGGCAGGTAGGGAATTAATTGCTTTTCAAAAAGCAGATTTCCTACGACGGGGGTGTTTGCAGCTCCTGATTTCCATAATGTGATGATACCTTTGGGTTTTCCCAGTGGTTGTTATTAGGGAAGATGGACAATTAATTTGGTTTGCTATGAGAAATGTCCTGTCCTGGTTCTCATGGAGAGGAACAGTTGATCTCCCAGCAGGCCACCAGTGCTTCCACTAACTCCTGCTTCTTTGATACCTTTTAAATCAGTTCATTCACCCAACCCGTCCCTCCCCACGGATTAACAACATCCACGCTTGGCAATACCAACAGGGGCACAACTGCAGCTGCCTTGAGAACCTCATCAAACCCTTCCAGGCAAAGTATCCCTTTAAATGTCTTTAAAGACATTTTTTGCTGCTAGACAAGTGCAAAATGCTCCAGCAGGGTTTTGCTGATAAAAAACTGGGCTCCACAGGTATTCCCATCACAGAGATGGAATGTGCTCCTCAGACTACACTTAGCCCTGCAAGATGGGAGAAAAACCCACCCAAAAAACCCATCTCAACCCAACCCCCTTCAGCGTGAGCAGCACATCCTGTTTACATTCCAAACCAGGAGTCCTATGGGTAATTCCAAGAGTCAGCACCGGTTCCATGGGGAACCTGGAATTCCTACCCTGAGCCCACGTGAGCTGAGGGATCTGCTCGTGACATTCTCCCAGTGGCACCTCATGGATGGTTCAACCTTTCCACAGACTCAGCACCCCACGGGCAGTTTCTGCCCTCGAGGCTCCTCTGCCCCCCCAAGGGGGTTTTAGGGATGGCAGGAATAAACTGGGACTTGCAGAGTGTGTGGTTTGCTTGTCTTGGACATCTGATGATTCAAGGGTGGGGAAACACCCTTGGCTGCATCAAAAAGGCCGTGCAGGCTGCAAAAGGAACAGGGAACTGGCTTGGGTTGAATATTTAGGCAGATTAATCTCTTCCTATCTCCTCCTCCTCGAGCTGCTGGGTGAGGAAATTGCCCTCCAGCACTTTGAGGTGCCCTCACAGCAGCCTCCAGCAGTTATCTTGCTGAGGAACATCTCAAAGTCTTGTTGGAACAGCTCTTCGTGCTCTCCTTGGGCTCCAAAACCATCACCAGTCCTGCATCTCCCTTTCTACAGCGAGTTATTTTACACCCTGCTGTTATATTTGATTGGCAAGAAATTTTCTTCTAAGAGGACACATAAATTTATCTGCGTTTGTAATAGGTGGGAACATCAGAGGGCTGGATTATTACCCTCAATTGACGCCTTATTTGTGGGTCTCTATTACATTTATGAGCAATTTGGTCCTTTGACTGGGCACGTCAGTGGGTCAGTGAGTCAGGACCCCACAGCAACATCCTTTGGTGGCCCTCATTTCATGACCAGAGGTTGGTCTGGTGCTGCAGGAGGGGGCAGTTCAGCCCTCCTGAGCACTGAATTCTGCTGCCCAGGAGCACATTTCTGAAAAACTCCATAAAATATTACATTGTCAGTGCTTTTGCCTCCCAATAATCAAGGAACTTGTTGTGTTCCACCACCAAGAGCTACCAAAGGTGGAGGCACTTTTCTACTAGGGGAAAAAAAAAAAAAATAAAAACAATAAAACACCTATTTCATAAACTGCTGAACAACTGGCTTTAAAATAGGATCCATCTGGATTTTAGGCAGCCCTTGGTTTACCTGAGAGCCTCCTACATGAGTTTTCCTGCTCTGTGGCATCAGCACTGGTTGGCACCAGGGATTTCATCTGGCTCATGTGCCAGCATCCCATGGCACAGAATCCCAGAATCCCTGAGGTTGGAAAAGACCTCCCAGCCCATGGAGTCCACCCTGTGTCCCATCCCCACCTTGTCACTGGAGCAGAGCACTCAGTGCCACATCCACTCCTTCCTTGGACACCTCCAGGGGTGGGGACTCCCCCTCCTCCCTGGGCAGCCCCTGCCAAGGCCTGACCACCCTTTCCAGGAGGAAATTCCTCCTCATGCCCAACCTGACCCTCCCCTGGCACAGCTTGAGGTTGTTCCCTCTTGTCCTGTGTCATTACCTGGGAGAAGATCCTGACCCTCACCCAGCTCCCCCCTCCTGTCAGGGAGTTGCAGAGAGCCAGAAGGTCCCCCCTGAGCCTCCTTTTCTCCAGGATGAGCCCCCCCAGCTCCCTCAGGAGTTCTCCAGCCCCTTCTCCTGCTGCTCCAGCTCCATCCCCTTCCCTGGCCACGCTCCAGCCCCTCCATGTCCCTCTTGCCCTGAGGGGCTGTTACTGCCCAGGACTCCCATTTAGCTGAAAAAGCATTTCCCACAAGAAATCAGGGCCTTCTCCCCCCGATTTCTCAGCCTTCCCAGCCTTGCTTGTAATTAAATCTCACAATCTGGGGCTTCATCACACCCCACTTTCCCCCGTCACCCTTCCCTGCCACGACCGGCGGGGCGAGGGTGCAGCTTCCAGGTGGGGTTTGGTGGCCAGGCCTTCCCGGGGTTTTGGGAATAGTTGGAATGCCAGGGGGCTGAGTGTGGAGTGCAATTGGCCTCACGTGAGCACCAGAGTGGCTTGCCTGCCCCGTTTTCCCCCCCAAGGGATTTTTGATCGGGCTCATGAGCTCATCCTCCCTTCTGGGACTCCAGAGGGAGAGGAGCCCAAATCCGGCCCCTTTTCCTGTTTACCCGGGAAGGTGAGTGCTCAGGGAGGAATGATAAATGATCATCTGAATAATTAAAGCTCACAGAAAGAGGAACTAACTGTGGTTAGGGGGGGAAAAAAAAAATAAATAAAAAATACCTCGGCTGTTTTATCTTTCGCCTTCGGACTCTCGCAGAGGTTTGCTTTGATTTCCTCAGTGTTTTAAGGAAGGAAATCTGGCTTTCCTGGGGTATTTTTTTTTTTTTACTTTACTGCATAAAACTGTGTTTTGATCTCTCAGAGCTCACGTTTCTTGCTCTGAGCTGCAGTTTTCTCCCTGCTGTAACAGTTTCAGAGGTGTAGTTTGAATATGCAGGTGCTCAGGGAGGGGGATCCCTCTTTCCCTGGTTCCCTCTTTCCCTGGTTCCCTCTTTCCCTTCCTCCAGCACCACCTGCAGATGAAATTTCTGCTCTCTGCTGATCTGAGGTGAATTAAAATCTGAATTTCTCTGCTCATGTGAAGGATTAAATATCATGCAAACACCATGCCACGGGAAGGGAAAATCTTATCTGGGTGCCATTTTTCCCCACCTACAGTTTCTTTATTCCCAGAAGGTTCTTCTATTTGATTTGGGAGCAGGAGCAAAGGAAATTGTTGCTTGCACAGAATGTTTTAATGAGTTTTAAAAGAGTCTTGGGGTAAAATTAAACCTGCACAGGGAGAATTTGTGGGGTTTTTTTATGCTGGTTTGCCCCAACCTGCTGAGAGAGGAGGATGGAAACAGAAGAACTGTGAGGGTGGAATGATTTATGTGAGGCCAAACATCCCCAAACCAGGGCCAGACCACGTCCACTGGGGTGGGATTTGTCACTTCCCACTATTGGCTGGCTCCTCTTCCAGAGGTGAGACAGTGATAATTCCAGGGGAGTCACCAGCCCTGTGCCCCAGGGTGTCTTCAAAGAAGGAGCCAGTGGGTGCTCGCAGACGGTCACACCCTTGTCTGCTGCCTCCCCCACGCTCTGTCGCTCCTCCCTTCAGCATTCCAAGAGGGATTTGCTCAGCCAAACCCTGCTCTGTCCCATCTCCCTGTCTGGAAACCTGCAGAGCACGACCTTTCTCCGTGACAGGGAGGTTTGGAGCCCCTGATGGATGTTTCTGACTCCTTGGTGAACGATTTTCCGAGAGATTTGAGGGAGCAAGGGGAGCTTTGGGGCAGCACTTCAGAGGAGCACTTGGAGAACGCACCTTTGGGGTTCTAAAGCCTTTCCTAAGCCATGAGAGGGTTTTTTATTCCAGCAATGAGCTGGAATATCTGGGATATCAGGCCCTGAGCTCTGTGGTGAGCAGGGAATGGCCTTGAGCTGTGCCAGGGCAGGGTTAGGTGGGATATCAGGAGAAGGTTCTTCCCCTAGAGGGTGGTTGGGCACTGAACAGGCTCCCCAGGGCAGTGGGCACAGCCCCAAGGCTGCCAGAGCTCCAGAAGGGTTTGGCAAAAGCTCTCAGGGATGTATGTGGTGGGATTTTGGGATGTCCTGTGCAGGGCCAGGAGCTGGACTTCGATGATCCATGTGGGTCCCTTCCAACTCAGGATATTCCTTGATTCTCTCATCCCAGATGGGTCTCAGGTCTCCAGCTGCTGCCTTAGACCTTCCCAAGCATTCCAGAGGGAGCTGCCACCCTATAGATACTAGGATTTTAGGAAGAAATCAAAAGGATAAAACACAAGTCCAGGGCAATACAGAAGTGAAGGGAACACCGGTGGGGCCAAGATCATTTGTTTTATTCACACAGGGAAAGGAGAAGGTGACAAGGAAGGAACAAACAAGGATATTCCTCCACCAAGACCAGTGCAAGGAGGAATTACAGACTCTTTCTCCCAGGAAATATTCCTGGGGGCACAAAATCGCTCGGTTACATGTACAAAGAAAGGCACTTTCTTGAGGTAAACACAGCAGGAACGAAGCAGAGCTGAAGGAAAACCAGCGGAGGATTTTTCTCCTCCCAGAGCAGGGGAGGGCACGGGGGGAAGACCAAGACGTGAGGAAGAACATCCAGGCATTTACAAACCTTTTTCAGTCCTTTGCCTTTGGAGGCTCCACAGGGCAATGATCTCCTCAGGATCCCATCACGGAGGTCCCCTCAGAGACCCCGGAATTTCCGGGCGCGGACGTCGGAGCAGCGGATGGAGCAGCGCTGGCCACACAGCGGGGAGGCCTGGGTGACACAGGGGGTGGGACAGGACTCCACGCACTTGGTGACGGCCTGGACACCCCCACAGCGGGTGGGGGGGCCACAGCTGGTCACACAGCAGGGATCCTGGCACGTGGTGGTGCACTGGGTCACCCCTTGCAGCAGGGATCCTGGCAGGTTGTGATGCACTTGGTGACCTCCTGACAGCAGGGATCTACACATGTGGTGGTGCATTTGGTGACCTCCTTGCAGCAGGGATCCTGGCACGTGGTGATGCACTTGGTCACCTCCTGGCAGCAGGGATCTTGGCACGTGGTGGTGCACTGGGTCACCCCCTGGCAGCAGGGATCCTGGCAAGTTGTGATGCACTTGGTCACCTCCTTACAGCAGGGATCTTGGCATGTGGTGGTGCACTTGGTCACCTCCTTGCAGCAGGGATCCTGGCATGTGGTGGTGCACTTGGTCACCTCCTTGCAGCAGGGATCCACACATCTGCTGGTGCACTCGGTCACTTTGCAGCAGCAGCAGGGATTCACACACCTCCTGGTGGTGCACTTGGTCACTCTGCCACAGCAGGGATCCACACACTGAGTGGTCACATATCCACAGCAGGGATCCACACGCCTGGTGATGCACTTGGTCACGTCCTGGCAGCAGGGATCCACACACTGAGTGGTGCATTTGGTCAGGTCCTGGCAGCAGGGATCCACACACTGAGTGGTGCATTTGGTCAGGTCCTGACAGCAGGGATCCACACACTGAGTGGTGCATTTGGTCACGTCCTGACAGCAGGGATCCACACAGGTGGTGATGCACTTGGTCACGTCCTGGCAGCAGGGATCCACGCAGGTGGTGGCACATCTGGTCACACAGCAGGGATCTTGGCACCTGGTGATGCACTTGGTCACCTCCTGACAGCAGGGATCCACACACCTGGTGATGCACTTGGTCACCTCCTGACAGCACGGATCTACACACCTGGTGGTGCACTTGGTCACCCTGTCACAGCAGGGATCTTGGCACCTGGTGGTGCACTTGGTCACCCTGGCACAGCAGGGATCCACACACCTCGTGCTGCGCTTGGCCCCTTTCTTGCAACAAGGATCCACACACCTGCTGCTGCTCTTGCCCCCTTTCTTGCCAAACAGATCCAGACCCTTAGGAGAGCACTTGGGCATTTTCTTGCAACAGGGATCCACATACTTAGTGGAGCTCTTGGACACTTTCTTGCAGTAGCAGGGATCCACGCACCTGGTGGCACAGGTGGTCACACAGCAGGGATCTTGGCACCTGGTGGTGCATCTGGTCACTTCCTGGCAGCAGGGATCCACACACCTGGTGGCACATCTGGTGACACAGCAGGGATCTTGGCACCTGGTGATGTACTTGGTCACCTCCTGCAACAGGGATCTTGGCATGTGGTGATGCACTTGGTGACCTCTTTGCAGCAGGGATCCTGGCATGTGGTGGTGCATTTGGTCACCTCCTTGCAACAGGGATCTACACATGTGGTGGTGCATTTGGTCACCTCTCTGCAACAGGGATCTTGGCATGTGGTGATGCATTTGGTCACCTCTCTGCAGCAGGGGTCTTGACATGTGGTGGTGCACTTGGTCACCTCTCTGCAGCAGGGATCTTGGCACGTGGTGATGCACTTGGTGACCTCCCTGCAACAGGGATCCTGGCACGTGGTGATGCACTTGGTCACCTCCTGACAACAGGGATCTTGGCATGTCGTGGTGCACTTGGTGACCTCCTGGCAGCAGGGATCTTGACAAGTGGTGATGCACTTGGTCACTTCTTGACAGCAGGGATCTTGGCAAGTTGTGGTGCACTTGGTCACTTCCTTGCAACAGGGATCCACACACTTAGTAGTGCACTTGGTCACCTCTCTGCAGCAGGGGTCTTGGCACGTGGTGGTACATCTGGTCACACAACAGGGATCCTGGCACGTGGTGATGCACTTGGTTACGTTCTGACAGCAGGGATCTTGGCATGTCGTGGTGCACTTGGTCACCTCACGGCAACAGGGATCTTGGCATGTGGTGATGCACTTGGTCACCTCCTTGCAACAGGGGTCTTGACAAGTGGTGATGCACTTGGTTACATTCTGGCAACAGGGGTCTTGACATGTGGTGGTGCACTTGGTCACTTCTTGACGACAGGGATCTTGGCACGTCGTGGTGCACTTGGTGACCTCCTGGCAGCAGGGATCCACGCAGGTTGTGGTGCACTGGGTCACCTCCTTGCAGCAGGGATCTTGGCATGTCGTGGTGCACTTGGTTACGTTCTGGCAACAGGGATCCACACATGTGGTGGTGCACTTGGTCACCTCTTGACGACAGGGATCTTGGCACGTGGTGGTGCACTTGGTTACGTTCTGGCAACAGGGATCCACGCAGGTTGTGGTGCACTGGGTCACCTCCTTACAGCAGGGATCTTGGCATGTCGTGGTGCACTTGGTGACCTCCTTACAGCAGGGATCCTGGCACGTGGTGGTGCACTTGGTGACCTCCTGGCAGCAGGGATCCTGGCACGTGGCGCTGCACTGGGTCACCTGGGAGCAGCAGGGATCCCTGCAGCTGGCGCTGCAGCTGCTCACCCCCTGGCAGCAGGGAGGGACACGCGTGGACACGGCCAGCCCGCAGGATCCCTGTGCCAGCCCCAGCCCGCCCAGGTTCACGTAGGTGGTGCTGCCCTGGGGGACTCCGGTGTAGCAGCAGCGGCTCCCACGAGGGGGCAAACAGAAGCCCTGCTGGAAGTTGCAGGCGGTGCCGCAGGAGGGATCCGGGCGGCTTTTCACGGGAAAGCTCCTCACCAGGACGGCGGGAGGGGGGATGCAGAGCTGGGCCGTGGGGCAGCCGCTTCGGAGACGCATCTTCGAGGGGAGGGGTGGGGAGGAGGCTGAAAGCAGGAGAGGAACGAACTGTGTGAGAAACGGGCATCGCGTTCAGCTTTCCCGAGGCTGTTTTATGCACAGAGATGAATTATCCCTTTTTTTCCAGCGGAACCCTGAGCTAGGAAAACAGCCCGAAATCCGTAGCAGGGGATGAACTCCCCTTGAAGGCGTTTCAGGCAAGTTTGTAGCTACTTTCAAACCACTTCTCAGAACAGGGAAGGAAAGCTCTTTGGACTCAGCTGGGTTCTACTGCGAGGTCTGAAGGCACAACAACCCCAAGCTCCCCTTGGTTTGGGATTAATCTTTGGCTTCACTTCCCTATTTCCACCCAAAAAAGGAGATGATTCGGCTTCTGACCTCGCCCTGTCCACGCTCAGACCCTCGGCCAGAGGAGTGTGTGGGGGTCCCATCCTGGAAAACTTCCCCAGGGAAAGGACCTGCCTCTCCCAGCGCAGCTGCTTTCCCAGCTCTCCCACAGAAGTCCTGGCTCTTCTCATCCAGACTCCCTTCCAGGCATGGCTTACCCTCGCAGCCTGAAAGTCTCCTGCTTCTTATCTCCCCTCCCACTTTTTTCCCTTTGAAGTCCTAACGTTGCCTTTTGATCTCTCTCTCCCAAGCCCCAGCGATTCCCTGGTTAAGGCAGGGGAACAAAATCACTGGGGAAGGGAGAGAGGTTGGTCCACTCTTGGTGGAGGAAGAGCAAAACACGCAGCAAACAAAGCCTGGTAGAAGATGGAATTAATATTTACCCCCAACTCAGCTGCTGGATAAGCCCCACACACACACACACAAATCTCACCAACCAGAAGCACCCAAAAGTCTTTTAAGTTGCTTCTGCAACACTTGGAAATGAAATAAACCCAACCACTACGTGACTTCCCAGCAAGAACCAAGCAAGACTTACCCAATTCACCACCAGCAAGCCCCAAATGAAACCCAAAACGGTTTGAAAAAGGCCACAATATGAATCCTTTTATATGATTTCGGGGTCCGTGTCTCCGGAAGTGAGACACCTCAGGGGTATGGAAATCCAATTTTTAATAATCCAGACCTGTTCCACCTCCAGTCCTTCAATTATACCCACTTCCATTATAATTTTTAATGCTGCCCAGGCTGGACATTATGACTGCTGGAATTCCCCATCCACGCATTTCCTACGGAGGGCAGGGAAGTAAAGAACCGATGATACAGCCTGGAAAATATCCGCCCCCACACCCCCTCAGGATTAAACTTTGTTTGGATAAAAGTTATTTTGGGATGTTTTCTTGCACCTCCTGAGGCAGCCCATAGCCCAGGAATAAACAGGACTCTGGAAGTGGCTTTGTTGTCCTCTGCTCTGGAACTCCCAGCCCATGGAGTCCACCCTGTGTCCCATCCCCACCTTGTCACTCAGTGCCACTTCCAGGCCTTCCTCGGGCACCTCCAGGGATGGGGACTCCCCCACCTCCCTGGGCAGCCCCTGCCAAGGCCTCACCACCCTTTCCATGGGGAAATTCCTCCTCATGCCCAGCCTGACCCTCCTCTGGCACAGCTTGAGGCCATTTCCTCTTGTCCTGTGTCATTACCTGGGAGAAGATCCTGACCCTCCCCTGGCTCCCCACTCCTACCAGAGGAGTTCCAGAGAGCCAGAAGGTCCCCCCTGAGCCTCCTTTTCTCCAGGCTGAGCCCCCCCAGCTCCCTCAGGAGTGTCTCCAGCCCCTTCTCCTGCTGCTCCAGCCCCTCCATGTCTCTCTTGCCCTGAGGGGCCCAGCCCTGCTGGCAGCACTCGAGGTGCCCCTCCCCGGTGCCCAGCACAGAGGGACAACCCCTGCCCTGCTCCTGTGCCCACACCAACTTTGATCCAATCTGACTTCCCACCTCCCACAGCTCCTGTTCCTGGCTGAAAATCCCTCTTTACAAGAGGGGAAGGAGAGAGCCAAGCAGTGGAGATCAAAGGCTCTGAAACCTCCTTCTCTGCTCGCTGCAAACCAGCCTGAAGTCACTGGGTGACACAACATCAGACCAGTATTTCTTGCCCACAGAAGTGAGGGAATGTTTCACCTGCAGATGAAGGTGTGTCCTTGTGCCTGCTCTTCCTCCTTTGAGTGTGTGTGTGTGTGTGTGTGCCCAGGGTGGAGACTTTTGGCTGCTAAGCAGAAATAGATAAATCTGGGATCCCTGACTGGACTGAGAGTTTGCTGCCCACCACAGGGATTGGCACTGGTAGGAACTCAGCTGATTTTGGGTGAACCAGAGGGATGAAAAGGGGGTTGTCACTCCATCCATCACCCATCTGCTCTTCAGGGATGCACCTGCACGAGGGCAAAGGCAACCTCGTGGCAATGGAGATGTTGTTTGGACTCAGAACTTCAGGAGCAGATGCAAAACCTCACCAAAATGAGGATTTTTCCAGCAGCACCGTGTCCAAACAGGACAGTGGCAGGCACAGAAGGAGGTCAGACGTGGCTAAAAATTAAAGAATCCCCCAAATCCCACATCCCATCCTGTCTCTAATGGACCTCATGATGTGTTTGTTGGGCTGGAGGGTGTTTGAGCATCACCCCCAAACCGCCCCGTGACTATTGGAGAGCGAGCCGGGAGTCCACTCATTTCCCAAATTCTTCTGAGGGGACACGTGGAGTCCCAAAAAGCCATCCCAGCTCCCTCCAGGTTGAGCTCCAGCCACGGAAATAGGCGGTTTCCATTAAAAATAATTAGTCAAATAATCCATCACGGGGCAGAGGCGGAGCGAGGCCGGATTTGGGATGGGGAACTCGCCTGGGTGCCTGGGGCTCCTCAGCTCCCGAGGCCAGAGGACACACCAGGCACATCCCAGCTTCAAGGTGCTGTGTCTACTCATCCTGTCTCAGCTGATCCTGAGCTGGGTAAGTTCCTTTGGGGATCCTACAGCTCCCAGCCTGGTGCTGCTCCTGATTTCCCACCCCTGCAATGGATTCCTGGGGAGAGGGGGGAATTTGTTGGCTCTCAGCCTCCTTGGGGAGAAGGGTTTTCGAGGAGTGCCAGCCTTCCCTCGTGCTGGCTTTGCTGGAATTCCCATGGATGCTCTTCAAAAGCCTTCCTGCTGTCCCAGCACTGGGGTTGAGAGGGATAAAAACACCCTCTTGCCCAAACTGCTGTGATAGTCTAAGCAGGGAAGTGGCTGCAGCATCTCTGCAGTCCCAGGTGAGCGTGGCCAGCCTCGTGGGGAAGCTGAACAACTCCACCTTGCTCTTACCTGTCTGTCCTGTTGCTGCTTTTAGTCATGGCAGGGGTAGGACAGGGACGGCTACACCCCTGGGTATTCCCAGCAGAGGAGTTCCAGGACAAGGAGAAATCACCTGGAGAAGGGAGGGATCAGCTGGAAATTTATCAACCTGGAAATGTGGCTCAAATCCACCGCTCTCCTGAGAAAATGTCCTTGAAACTGTTTGGCTGAAAACAGATCCTGAAAGGAAAAGCTGCTTTTTTAAGGGGATTTTAGGCAGGAGAACAACAGAACCACTGAAGTTTTCACTGAATGTCTGGGGTTTTTTTGGTGGGGAGGGGGAGGAATAGCCATGAAATCGCTCTTTTCCTTTCAGCTCACCCTCAGCGTGGAAGGATGAGCTCCCAGTGCCAACTGCCCTGCTCTGCTGCACAGACCGGCCCCTGCCCCTCACCGTGTGCCAGGGGGGACCCAGAGCCGTGCCCTGCACAGGACTCACCCTCCTGTCCCGAGCAGAACTTCCAGGTGGATCCCTGCCCGTGCCAGGGGGCAGATGTTTGCCCTCAGGTTGGGCCCGGCTGCCCCTGTGTGAGTTCACGTGGGTGCCCTGCTGGTGGTTCCTTGGGATTCCCCTCAAGGAGGTTCAGGCTGGACACTGGGAAGAATTTCCTCATGGAAAGGGTGGTCAGGCCCAGGGGATGATGGTGGAGTTCCCCATCCCTGGAAGTGTCCAAGGACTGGGTGCTCTGTGGTGGAGGGGGTGCCAAAAGGTGGGCACGGGACATGGGACTCACTCAGTGACCTCGGAATGCTTTTCCAACCAGAATTCTGTGCTTGCCCTTCCAGCCCACGGCCTCTCCAGTGGAAACCTGCCCCGTGAAGCTGCCCACCCCATCCATGGAGCCCTGCACCATCGACACCCCCGGCATGTGCGTGATGACCTTCCCCCTGCAGCACAACATCCTGACCGTGGAGCTCTGCCCCTCGGACGGCACCGGGACGCCCCTCCCTCCAGACGAGCTTTGCACGGCCAAGACCCTCGGGAGCTGCCTGGAGGATGTGTGTCTGGGGGAGCCCTGCACCCTGGAGGTGCTGGAGCCTTGCTGCGCTCAGGGGGTGGGGATCGCTGAGCCCTGCCCCGCTCAGCCCTCGGGATTTACAGAGCCGGGTGTGTCCCCGAGCATCACAGAGCCCTCAGCCCCGGGGGCGTGCACAGCTCAGGGCACCCCGGGACTCGGGGACGCCAAGGACACGGCCAAGGACTCCAAATCCTGCTCCTCGTTCCGGCTGAACAGCCGCACCTCCAGCATCGTGGAGCGCTGCCTGTCCCGGTGCCAGAACTGGTTTAGGGGCAAGAACGGAGAGAAATGAGGGAGAGGAGGAGAGAAATAAGAGAAATAAGGGCTGCACCGCTGGCCACGCAGCAGGGAAGGGGTGCCCAGCGCTCCCCTGGTGAGTCGCACGACAGGACAGCAAAATTCCTTCGTGTGAAATTAAAAAAAAAATAATTAAAACCCCTCAAAAATTTACTTTTCAATCGTCTCCTAATTACGGCTCTTCTTTCTGTTGCCTCATGCCAGCTGCAATAAGGATGGCAAGAAGTGCAATGCGAGTGTTAATTGAGCTCAGGGGCCCCGTTTCGTCACCTTGCACCTTTTTACTTCCCACATACAAATAACCCCCCCCTGCCCCCAGTTCAGAGCCTGCCTCTGATGGAGTTTCTGTCCTCTTTCTTAATGGTCTTTTAGGCTGGAGTTATGGGGATATTGAGAAAAGCAGCTCAGAGGCCTCATTT